AGCAGGAAGCAACCGCCTCCAGCCTGGAACTGCAATCCCCAGCACAGTTACACACAAAGGAACAGCCAGTCCGTGATTTAATTCATATTTGATGGTGGAAATGAGCCTGTGACACACACTGGAAGCCGTCGTTTTACTCCCAGTCTTCCCACTCTTCATCTTCCAGCTGCAAACAAGGGTAACATCCCTCAGTTTGTTTCTGTAACTCAGCAGATCCTCCTGCCCAGGGCACCTGAGTCAGCACAAAGTCTGTCATATCCTCACGTTCCCACACCCTCACAATAGGGATTTGCTTACTCTCTTCCCCCCAGGGAACTTGCACACTCATCCCTCTTTAAGCACGTCCAGACAGCCACTCTCTGCTGCAGCTAACACCCATGACTCCCACAATGAGATCCCAAGCTAAGCCCATGTCCTCAAAGAGCAAATCACCCCTTCGAGAAGCCTCCTGCGAGCTCTCCAGACAGGCAGCTGCCTGCTGCAGCCCTGCCCTTCTGGGCCAGCAGGAGCCACATCTTGCTGAACGTGCTGTGCAGCCTTGGCTCCAGCACAGGGGCTGGAAGTGGAGCTCAGGCTGAGGGATTTGCCCTCTGAGGCACTGCAGTCTCTCTCCACCTCCCAGGGGAAGCACCCAGCAACAGCAGAGCTCACGCAGCATCACCCTGAGGAGTTGCCGATGGTTTCTGGGAGCAATCTTCCTGCCAATTTGAGTGAGCACCTCCCCTCAACTCACCTCCCCAGACACTTCCACCTTTGAGAGCGCCAGCTGCACCTCCTCTTCGGTCATGTCCAAATCAAAGTCCTTTTCCCAGTCCTCACTGATATCAGTGCTGGAACCTGTAACCACAAACATCACAACTGAACCATCGGAGCTGCACATGCTCTCCAGATGCCCTGGCCAAAGCAAACAGCTGCCCAAGCAGGTCCACAAAGCCCTGGGATTCGCAAGGTTCAGATTTACTGCAGCCTGCCCGAGGAGAGAAAGCCCATCCCCCCCCCCCATTCCCAAGAGCAGGCTGTCAGCTCATTAACAGAGATGAGATGGACTGAACTGCACCTCCCTCGCGGCAAGGGCTGGTTCAGAACAAGTGGGAAAGGTGAATGCTGAAACATGTTCTCTGGCCTGGGAGAACGTGGATGTGTCAATGCTTCAGGGACACAGAAAACACAACTTATAAGGAACGACAGGAGTGACTTAGATATGGAGACTGTCATACAGCTGAACAGAATGAACAACCCCCTGGGGCAGAGGAGCAGCAGGGTCACTCCTGGG